TGGTGCTTAGATGATCACTGTCCCAGGGCAGCTTGTGCGTATCTGAGGAAAGCAATATGTTGAATTTTCATTTAGTGAACTCTGTTGTGCCACAAATGAAATATTTAGTTTTATTGTCACATGTCTTTTAATTTTCCTTGTTATTATCACATTTTTAACCCCTCTTTTTGACAATAGGTTGGGCTTGAGGGGAGTTCTGTTGGTCAATGGTGGCTGGAAATGATAGACAAAACTTTGGGGGAGGGGTTGACATTTGGACGAGTTGGTTCTAGGCAACTGGCAGGCTTGCTCATAGCTGTATGGTGGGTATCCCTATGACTGGGTCTTGGTAATGGTTCTTAAATGAACTTTTGTTTTATTCTTTGATGCACCTTATTATTTGGTAACCAGCACTGTTTGTGCCAAGTTTCATTTGCCCCCCAACATTGAACGTAAAATTGGGTTCCTCAACTGTGGTAGTTGTCTCAAATGGAAAATACCAGTTGAAAATAAGCATTTTCACCAAGTCACATGTCATTTTTTATTTGAAATTCACTGTTATAACAATGAAAAAACTTTTTTGACCATGTTTTGTTATATAATCAATAATATTAAAAAATTAAATTGTTGTTAATTGAACAAACTCAAATTAGTAACAATTAATTAAAAAGTAAAAGACTTTTTTGACCTTCTTTTCTTGTATAATCAATAATATCAATGTTAAGTGAACAATGTCTCAGTTGATCAGAAGGAAAAGAGAGAGAGAGAGAGAGAGAGAGAGAGAGAAAGTGGATGATGTCTCATGCTGGAAGAGTTGTCTTTCAGGGTTAAGAATGATCTTAAACCTCATGTTGGGGATATTGATGCTGCAGCAGTTCCATGTGGCTTTGGGCGTGCAATTGGTAACAAGGTATTGTTTATCATTGCTTTGATGGTTCAAAAATATGTTGGGTCACTCCTATTGACTCTAGTGGTACACATTTCGTGATTCTGTTTCTTCTCTGGGTTGATTGCCTTTCATATAGCTGCATGCATAAGCACTAATGTGAATGTCCTTTCTCTTTTAATAATATTACTATTTGTTGTAGGCCTTGTTATCATTAACGTTTTCAGTGCTAATATCATTAAGGTTTGGTATGTTTTTTGAGGAAATAAATTTGTTTTAATAGCTTAGTGCATTTTCATTAATTTCTATTGATGTTAATTTTGAATTATTAAACTTCTAAATTATGTCCAATTAATTGTTCTTGTTTTGCAACCAAATAATTGTTTAAAAGTGTTCATATTTAATATTTAAAGCCATAATATGGTATCAAAGTGCGGGTTGTTTGTTTCCCAATTTGCTGTTTTACAGCCCATTTTCGATAGACCTCTCTGTTTTAGGTTTTTTAGTGGGCCTGGTAGTTTTGGTTTGTTGAGGCCTTGTATTCAAGTTGGGCTCTTTGCATATCATCAATTGATTTTAGGTTGGATATCAGGTTTGTATTTACCATGGCAGTTTTCTTTCTAAGAAAGCTATAGGAAATGTAAAGCATTGTTTTGGACTTACAAGTTTAAGTTTGCTCATAAGTAATGCTTCTAATAATCAACATTTTTGCATCCAAGATCTCTTTCACTCTGTTTATGCATGTCATGTTGTCAGTTATTATATTATTAATGTAGCTTAAGATCTTTTACCTAGGGAGCTGTTGGTTTGAAACTCAGAGTGTACAACAGAGTTATGTGCTTTGTCAATTGTCACTTTGCTGCACATTTGGAAGCTGTTGGTCGCCGCAATGCTGATTTTGACTATGTCTATCGAACAATGACCTTCAGTCGATCACTCAGTCTCTTCAATGTGCCCGCTGGTATGGTGTCGTACCTGTTCTTAACTTGCTCGCTTGCCTGCTCAATGTATTTATTTTGGGTTGTTTATAGATATGGATTGCCATTGGTCCTTTCTGTTGCAGCTGGCGCTTCATATGCTGGTCAATTGTTCCGTGGTGCAAATGTATGTATAGACTTTTGATTTGTATAGAAGCTCTCTTGATGTTTGACTTTCTTTTTAGAAAATTGATTTCTTCTATACAGTTTCTGAGTTAACTTGATGCTTCTGCAGGCTATTGGTTCAAACTCTGGAGATGGAATGCCTGAATTGTCTGAAGCAGATATGGTCATATTCCTTGGTGATTTTAACTATAGGCTTGATGGGATATCTTATGATGAAGCAAGGGATTTTATCACTCAAAGAAGCTTTGATTATCTTAGAGAAAGGGATCAGCTTCGATTAGAAATGGAAGCTGGGAACGTCTTCCAAGGAATGCGGGAGGCAGTTATCAGTTTTCCTCCAACATACAAGTTTGAAAAGCACCAGCGTGGATTTGCAGGTACGTTATATGAAAATTTTGAATCTTTTTATCTACTTAGTTGATTGTCACTGTAACTTCTGCAGTGTAGTTTCCTCTCTCACAACTTATTTGAACAATTGTCTTATTGTTTAATGCTTAAAAGCAGAGTAAGCAAATCAAGAAAACCAAAAGACTGAACTGAGAGTTATTAGAGTGGAATTTGGAGGTGTACCGATGTATGAAAGATTAGAGGAATTGACTTTCTTGGCTCTCATGATAGGCTCAAGCTGAAAAAATTTAGTAAATAGAAAGGTTTAGGATTAATTAAATGAAACTAATGTTATTAGACAAAGGCAACTCTTGCCAGTGGTTGGCATCAATCTCCAAGGATTTAATGTATAGGTTGGCTGAATCTTTTGACTTCCAAATGGTCTGCTGCAGGTTATGATTC